AGTTAGGGTCACTATGAATCAACAGCACCTAACAATAACAACATTAACCTCAGTGAACAATCTAAAAACGAACTAAGAATACAATTTTATATACTATGGCATCAAAAAGTATAAATATTTAGGGATACATTTGTTAAATGAAGTGCAAGACTTTTACATTGAAAACTACAATGTATTTTTTAAAAGAAATTAATGAAGACCTAAATAAATGGAAAGATAGATTGAGAGACTTATTATTGTAAATATGGTAGTCTTCCAATTGGTCTGTGTGTGCAATACAATTATTATGAAAATCTCAACAGACTTTTTCACAGAAATTGAAAAGCTCATTGTAAAATTCATACGGAAATGCATGAAACCCAGACAACTCAAAAGAGTCTTGGAAAAGAAAAAATTTGAACAAATCAGTATTCAATTTCTTATTTTAAAACTTGTGACAAACTTACAGTAATCAACAGTGTGGTACTGGCATAAGGATAGACATATATATGAATGGAGTAAAATTGAAAATCCAAATTAGAAAAAAAAAAAGAAAAATACTGGCATTCAAACCAGTCAACTGGTTTTCGACAAGGTTACCAAAATAATTTAATGGGACTCAGAATAGTCTTTTCAACAAATAATGCTTGGACAACTGCATGCTGTTGTTGTTAGGTGCCATTGAGTCAGTCCCAACTGATAACAACCCTGTGTTCAACAGAACAAAACACTCCCCGATCCTGAGCCATCCTCACAATGGTGGCTATGTTTGAGCCCACTGTTGCAGCCACTGTATCATTCCAGCTCATTGGGGATCTTCCTCTTTCTTTCACTACCCTCTACTTAACCAAGCAACTGAATAGCAACAAAAAAAAGGAGTGAATTTGGACCACCATCTATTTTTTCTGAAAGTAGGAGAAGTAAATTCCAATATCTACCCTTAGAAAACTAGAATATCTAATTCTATTTTTAAAATGGCAAAGTCCCTTCATATCTAGTTAAGGTTGCTGCAGATTTTGCAGATCGAATCTCAGCTAGGATTCTCTGTTAACATAAAGTTGGTTTATTTAATTTTAACTAAAACAAGTCTTTAGTGAAATCTTAAAATATTTTGACTTGTTTTATTTTCAATCACTGACTTTCTACAAGATATTTAAAAAAACTCTATGACAGGGGATTCTTTCTTTGTCAGGGTCTGATCTTTATGACTTTAGAGAGAATTCTGGTGGGCTGCTCATGGCTCTTCCACTCACAGAATTTCAGCTAAGACTGTAAAACTTTAGGAATAGGTACTTCTTTGTAGCCAGCCAGGCCCCAGCTATTTGCATGGTTTAATCAATTTTAAAAGTCTAGAAAGTAAAACACAACTATTCAAAAATTTCAAATAATTGCAGTTACATCTTGGCAACATAAGTATTACCATATCCACGTGATGGCAATTCTTTGAATTGTAGAAAACATTGTGAGATGCAGTTATCAGTACTTATCTTAAGAGACCTTTGATTAAAAAAAATCTTGAAGTCACATATTTGTTGTTGTATCATAGCCAATTCATTATTATAAGTGTTGTCATTAAAATGTTGCAAATATTGTGTCTCTAAGGAAATCTGTTTTCCTTGACTGTGATTTATAATGATGAAGTCAAAATTTATCAGACCCTTGTTTGGAGGTGGTGGAGTCTAAAGAAATGGTGGAGGGATAAGTTTAAGAAACTGAATATAAGATATGTCAGGATCCGTGAACAGTCTGAGGACTAGATGATAATGGTAGAAACACGCAATTGACCATTCAGCAAAGCATATGGTCATTAAAAGCACCCCTTTGAAGTTAAGTGGCTTCAATGGGCTCAAACATACCAGTGATTGTGAGGGTGGCTCAGGACTGGCAGTGTTTCATTCTGTTATACATAAGGTCACCATGAATCACAATCAACTTGATGGCAACTGTGTTAGATTAGTGTTCCGACTCTGTTGTCCATTATGGTAACCACGCCCACCTTGCCTTTGTCAATTAACTGCTGCCACTTGGCCCCTACTACCACGGGGTCCAGTCAGCCCCATCGTATCTAAGTGTCTTAGTTCAATTAGGGCAGTTCCCACTGTCAAATCAGGTTTACATAAAATAGCAATCACAGCAGTCTTCAAGGATGGTGGAGC